CAGCCCAGAACTAAATCCCTTCTCCCAGGCAAATTTCCGGCGTTCTGGGAGCACCCGTCCCACATGGCAGGAGTTGGGAGAGAATATCCCAAGATTAGTGGGCTGAGGTTCTTTAGGAAGAGCTTGAGAATGAACTGCCAGAGGGCAGGGATGGACGGGATAGCGGGAGAAATCCTTCCCTCTAGGATGGGAAGTGTCCCAGGCCAGGTTGGATGGAGCTTGGAGCATCCTGGGACACTGGAAGGTGTCCCTGCCATGGCAGGGGTGCGATGGGATAGAATTTAAGGTTCCTTCCAACCCAGCCCATCCTGGTATTCCATGACTCTTTCCAGAGTTCCCTATTTTAAATAAGGAGTCAAGAGCTGTGGCTCAAGGAGCTGCAGCACTTCCCAGTGTACAGGGAAATGTTGGATCTTCTGGCTGCTCCAGAAGGAGCCACTCACCCTGCCCTGGCTGGGGCTGATTTTTTAAGACTCCCAGGCAGTGTCCATTCACCAAGTCTTTGCCACTGGAATTGTCTCTGTGCATTTGGGCCAATTCTGGATACAGAACTGGGTGCTGTGCATGGAAGTGGGGAAAATCTAGGATCCATTTCCTCTGTGGCAGCTAATGCAAGGAAGAGGAATGCCATCGTTTAACAACAAAAAAATAAAATGTGATTAAGAAAACAAATGAATTCCTGTTAACCCCAACTTGCTCCCAACAGGCACGCGTGGAAAAGCGTCGGAGACGCTTCCATGAGGAGACTGGAGTGGCTGAGCTGAGAGCCAACAGCCCAGGGAAGCTGAGCAATAATGAATCAAAGCTTTAGGGTGCTCACTCAAGTGGCATCAGGCCGTGTGAGCAGTGAAAGGAGTTATTAACACAGCCCAGCCTTGCCACGCTCACTGCTCCTGCAGGAATATCCTGACGGGTACAGAGAGTGTCCAGCAGAGCTGTAAAACCTTTTAAAGGGTTTTAAAGTGCATATTTACACTTTAAAGGGTGGGTTTCTCACCTAACAGGGACATCACAGCAGTTCCTGGCTCCCACTTTGGAATGCTCTCCATGGAATCACTTTCAGCATTTCTTGGTTTCGTTCGTTTTCTCGTGACTCCCACACGGAGAGAGCGGTGTAAAAAACCAGGGAACAAATATTCCAGCAAACCACAAAGTAAACGAGAGGGCAGCTGGAGGAATCCAGAGGATCCAGCCAGACACAAAACAAAGCTGGCAGCCTGGACAAGCTGCTTCTGTGCACCAGGAAAAAGCTTCCTGGGAGCTTCCCGAGGGTTTTCAAAGCACTTTGGGGAATATAAATTGTCCTTTCAAACAGCTGCTGCCGAGGCAGAGGCTGCAGATTAAATATTATGACAACATTTTGTAACAAAGAAACCGGGAAAGCTGAGTTGGCCCCTGGATGTGGGACAGGGCAGGGAGGAGGGGGGAGCAAAGATTTCCTACAAACCCCTTGGGATCCATCAGGGATATCTGGACACCATGCAGGTGGCTGGGCCTAATGGGATATAGGACAGGCTGCTCAGGGAAAAAGAGATTCCCAGATCCAGAGTCTGGAAAAACAGGTTTGCAAACAGCTTATTTTGATATCATTTTTCTGTCCTCATCTCCTGCTTCTTGCTCCTCCTTAAGAATAGCTTGTTCCTCCATGAATTGGGATTGCAGTGCCCCTGATGTTTTATTTTCCCTTCTGCGTGGTTATTGTTGATTTTACCATTTCCTGTGGGATTTTTCCTTTGGGAATTGTGGCTTTGGCTGTGGTGTCACCCAGAGCAGGAGTTCTGTGGGTGTTTCTGGACTGGGTTTCTCCATGACTGCTCAAACCTGGAGGGCTCAGACTCAGTGGAAGGTCCTTCCCAATCCTTCCTTTCCAGGTGATTTTGGATGCTTTGTCCCACCATGTCCAGGTAAAAGGAGGAGCAAAGCTCCAGGGAGATGAGTGTCACTTGATTTTTGATTTGAGGTGACAAATCCAATGGAAATGGAAGAGCCATCCCTTTCATTTGCACACCCAGCTGCTGTGACTGTTGCACCACGTGGGATGTGTGGAGTTCCTAAAAGCCAACCCTCTGGAATTAATGACTGGAATGAACCAGGATCCATTACAAATTCCCACTTTGGCCAGACAACATCAGTGTTTGGTGCCTTCCTGCACTAATGGCTTCATCCTTCCTTTTTAAAGGCAATTAAACCAATGAATGCTGTTCTCCCTCTGATTCATTAAATGAAATTAGAAGTTTCGGTGCAATTAGTGAATTTAGACCTCGGGAAAATGTCTCCATTTTGCCTTAAAAATCTGGCAGGAGGTGATTTCCAGCAGCTGGTTCTGGATGGAAAACGGTGCCTGGGAACGTGAGGCAACTGTGCCACCTGCAGACAGGAAAATCCAGAGTGCCTGGAAAAGGAGAGGGAAATGGAACTGCCAGGATTGAGATCCACTAATTGGATCTCCTCAGCCACAGTCCATCCATTTCACCTTAAAGGTCCCCTCCAACCTTGATGATGTCATGGAATTTCAAAATAAAAAAAGATGACAAAGAAGCTTTGATAACCCTGGGCCATCACAGCTCATTTAAAAACCAATGTTTTGATGTACAAAACGCTCAAAAATTATCAACTGTCTTCATGAAAAACTAGAATTTTTTTCATTTTTGAAGGAAGATCAGTGTGTTCTTCAAATCAAATTTTAATCATTATTATTCATAATAAATCAAATGTATAATTCGATTCCTACACAAGAATTAAAGCTCTGTATAAAATATGCTAAAAAAATATTATTTTCACACAGGCAAGTGAAACTTAGGTATCTCTAAATCTTACACTTTGGTATTACAGCTGAGGAAAGGAATGTGACCCCTGAAATTCGAGGTGAGTGGGCAGGGAAGTATCACTGAATCATACAGGAAGCTTTTAGGAATCCTACAATGATTTGTGTTGGACTGAAAAATTCCTGCCCTTCTCCCAGAATCGGGCACTGTGCTGCTGCACTTTCCCAGAAGTTCTTTGGGAATAACTCAAAAATAAGCAGTGAGTAATGCAGTGACTCAGGCTCACTCTGAGATGGGTGACTGTGCATATTCCAAAGGCTAAATTCCAAAATGTGGTGCTGGCTGCAAGCCCTGACTCATCTGAGTTCATCCCTGATGTCTGGAGAGGCCACCTGGAACAGAGGCTGGGCAGGGCTAAAGGGATAAAGCAGGGATTTATTAAAAACCCTTCAGAGGATTCACCTTGGGCAGTGCAGGAGCCCGAGGTGGGCTCAGAGTCCCGAGTTTCACACTTGGATCACTTTGGGTCCATTCCCACCTCGGGGTTCATTGTCCAATCCCAGCTCCAGGCTCTGCACTCCCATCCTCCCACATTCTCTCCTCCACTCGCTGCTCTTTGCACTTTTTGGGGCTGGAGCTGCAGCTGTCCTTGGTTGTGGGGCTGGCAAAGGATTGTTTGGTGTGCCTGAGCTGGGAGGAGAGCTGGGAACACTTTGTGTGCAGTTTAGTCACAAACTAAGGCACTGCAGAATCTGGAAAATATGAAAGCTCAAACTTGAGGCATCATTTCCCCCTTTAGAGGCTTGACAAAGCCTTTACCTTGTCAAGCCTCTATCCTAAATATCTATTAATAAAAGCTGTTTAGTAACAGATGAGTACATTATTCCTCAGAGAAAGAAGGACCAGGAGCTCCTGCTGATCCCACAGCAGGGATGGGGACAGGTGGTGCTCAGGTGTGCCCATAAAGGGGATTTTGGGGAGGGGCACATCCCAAAAAATCTGTCCTGTCACTGAGCCATCCCTCCCTTCCAGAGCCATGTTCCCTATGGAATGTCCCATCCCATCATCCCCTCAGCCATGGTCCCTCATCCCTCCTCTCCTTGGCCAGTTATTAATTAGTGTTGTCTGTTGGTTAATGATTCTCTCGTTCCTCATGCTAATTAATCCCGTGCCCAGTCCCTCTCCTGTTTCGGGTCAGGTCGTGATCTTTCCCCCTTGCCAGAATTCCCTCTTACCCAGATTTAAGTTGCTGATTGGGGTTTGTTGGTTTCTTCCTTGCCTCGGGAGTTCTGCCAGATGTCTCGGGGGCAATCCTGCATTTCCTGGATGCCCTTCCAGTGGAAATCCTTTCCTCCCGAACCTTGTTCAAAGACTGTTATCACTGAAGGGGGCGAGCCCTAAATTCAACAAAGCGGTTCCACCCACGAATAATTTGTTTTTCCGACACCTGCACATCACTCGGAGCTCTTGGCTGCTTTGTTTCACCGATTCCCTCGCCCTTCTTGTTTATTTGGCTCGGAAGCGACAAAGATCAAACATCAAACATCCTGCCCAAAGAAAACTTTACATATTCCACATTTGACAACAATCAGGCAGGACTCTGCTTCATAACCCCCTTCTCCCTGCAGCTCTCTGAAAAAATCGTTCAGTATTTCCAACTGCTAACTATTTTTATCGGATTTTTAAACTTTTGCTCTGGAGATGTCAGGACGAACGGCCCACGCACGCTCCCCTCAGCCGCACTCCCGGCCCTCTCCCCCCTCACACCCACGGACACGACGCGATTTGTGCCCTCACACAACTTTCATTTCGGTTCCGCCGGGGACAACCCGAGGCGCTGGCGACTACGCGGCGACCCGCGCTCGCCCCCTCAGCCACCGCCGCAACATGGCGGCGCGTGACGTCACCGCGACGTCGTGACGTCACGGGCGCCGGCAGCGCCCCTGCCCCGTTCCCGCCTCCTCGCCCGCGAGGCCCCCGCGAGGCCCCCGCGCCGTGGGCTGCCCCAAGCAGTGCCTGCTCCCACAGCCGCCCTCTCGGGGCCGCCGCCAGCCCCGTTCCCCCCTGATCCGCGGGGCGGCTCCGCCATTACCTGTCCGGCCGCTTATCCCGGCGGTTGGCGGCGCTGCGGCCGCGGCGCTCGCCGCGCAGGGCGGTCAGGCGCGCTGGGGCAGCTCCGTGCGCCGAGCGGGCCGAGGCGGGGCGGGCGCGGCGGCGGCTCCGGCCGGGTCTGCGGGTGTGGGGCAGCGGCGGCACCGCGGGCCGAGATGCCGCTCTTCGCCCTCAACCCCTTCGAGCAGGACGTGGGTGAGCGCCGGGGCGACAGGCGGGGCTGGGCCCGATCCTGGCGGGGCGGCCTCTTCGTCCCCTGCATTCCATCGTCCCCTTCCTCCTCTTCCTCTTCCTTTTTCTCCTGGTCGTTTTCCTCCTCCTTTTCCTCCTCTTTTCCTCTCCCTGTTCCCCTCACAGCTCTCCCTCGCCCTGCCTCTGGTGCCCTAGGGATCAGTGTTGGATCCAGTCCTCTGGGATATCTCGATCGGTGATCTGGAGGAGGGGATCGAGTGCTCCGTTGGCAAATTGGGGAAGAACACCGAGTTCCCAGCGAGCTGGCTGGGATGTGGCCGTGCTGGAGGCCAGGAAGGCTCAGGGAGGGATCTGGATCCGTGCGATGAGGCCGATGGTGCCACAGCCAACAAGGCCAAGTGCCGGCTCCTGCCCCTGGGCCACACCGAGCTCTGGGAACGCTCCGAGCTGGGAGAAGTGTGTGGAAAGCTGGAAAATACCCTGGGAGGTGCTGGTGACAGCGGCTGAACACGAGCCCAGGG